ACGCCAGGCCACACACTTCTGTAGTGACTCGCCAGAACCTCTGGGAGCTTGGTTGGGAAGTTTTAATGCATCCACCATATAGTTCGGACCTGGCACCAAGCAATTACCACCTTTTTCTCAAATTGCAAAACTTCCTGAGTGATAAGAAATTGGGATGAAGAGAAGATTGTGAAAATCTATTACTAGATGTTTTCGCCAATAAGGGTCAAGACTGCTAAGCGAGAGGCATTACGGAGCTACCTTTAAAATGGCAACGACAAAACGGTGCATATTTGACCCAAATCGGACAAACGGAAGCATGTTAAATAAAGTCTTGATTTAATGCAAAATAATGGATTTCTTTTTCTCCAACCTAATATAAAAAGAAAAAAAATGTTTTTTTTGGACAATGATAAAAACAATATATACATAGTGTTCGGGCTTAATGTATCCAAAAGTAATTGCTTATTAATTCGAAACTACTCATCAGAATGTAATAAACTGTTCATGCTTGAATTGAAAATCCCTCTGGGAGTTTTTGGTGTAGGCCGATCGGCCACGTGTGCGCGCATTATTCGGCAATTGCAGACGATAAACTTGTTACACTAACTACATTAGTAAAGATATAGACGCCACAGCAAAAGGTGCAGTGCGTACTTTGGTTAACAGAATTTAAATTAGTCACGCGTGTAAAGCGATGTTTTTCTAACAGAATGGAATGCCGTTACTGGCTTGCCTATAGAATTATGAGGACTCCTACAAAATGAATCATGCACACGATCAACAGTGTCTTCTATCACGAAAATTTTAGGATACTTGCCAGTTTGAGATACCAAAGTTCCCGTCTCCTTTTAAGTTTTTTCCCATCGTTGGATGGATTTTGGTGTCGGAGGATCGATATTCCATTCTCTTCAAATACGTCGTAGTACACGCGTGACTGATTTAAATTCCTTTAACCAAAGTACGCACTGCGCCTTTTATTGTGGCTTCCACATCTTTACTAATGAAATCAGTATAAAAAGTTTATCGTCTGCGATTGCCACATAATACGCGCATGTGCACCCAATCGGACTAGACCCAAAATATCTCGAAAGGTTTTCCAATCCCCGGATGAACAGTTTATTACATTTTGATGGGTAGTTCCGTAATAATAGGCGATAACTTTTGGATTCTTATTACCCGGACACCCTGTATATCTTTTATTCATTGAAACGAAACTTTTGTGGCCGTAGTAGTCTAGTGGTCACGATCACGGGTTCGAGGCCCAGTGTCACTGAGTGAGGGAGCACACTATTTAGCAACACGAGAACTTTTGGCGACGGACCTCTTAGTTTTGAGCCATAGTCAAGTGTCGAGGACGACACATGAGCTTGCAACTCTCACTCTCTCTCCTAACTCATGACATACACCATACAAACGGGAGAATGTTTCAGCATTGCCCTATTTAACGAACATCGGTCTCCTCTGCACGGAGGGTCTTAAGTGATACTGGGCTCTAACTCATGACACACCGCCAACGTGTCCGTTACCTAGATCCACTAGCTTACCCCGGCCACCTAGCGCCACTGAAGACCCACCGTGTAGAATGTCCGATGCAAATTAAATCTTTCAAAGCTCAAAATTCTCCCATAGAGTGACGTGGCAATTTGAAAAGGGGGTGTTAGTCATGTTTTATGCTTGTCACTTGAACCTGTGATAGCTCTTACTTGGGGAGAAGCCATCACTTCATCTACTTGACCCAGATTTGTAGGAGGTAAGGTTTGATGACCCAAGCTAGCCATAATAAAAACAATTTATTATTATCAAATATAATAATCAAAGACAATCTTACAATAGAGGAAAACCCAGAGTGTGTGAGAGAGAGAGAGAGAGAGAGAGAGAGATATCGCAGCTCTAAATCTTATGCGAATTATCGCCTGAAATCCTAACCACTTAAGTAAAGTTATCCTATGAGTTCTAACTTCCTTAATTTATTTGAATAGCTAAAGCCCGTTCTATAATTACGCGTCTAAATTCAGATCCTTACCATAACCTCACGGCGTTCAGCAAATCAGCTTCCTTTCCTCCTTCTTTTTTCTCGATTAATAAAACTCCGCTATATATCTACTAACTAATCTGTATATCAAAGTTTCTTCTTGAGAGGGTTGGCTGTGAAATAACTCAATTGATGGCCCCAAAGACTCCCCAAGAGGATTAGTAGAAAAAACTCCTTAAAGCCCCGTCACAAACCAAGGCTCAAATTTTCCAGGTCCATCTATATTGAATGTACTTCCAATCTTAACAAGTTATAGATACTTATTTGCTATTTTGAACTTTTATGAAATTATCTACGTAAGCTATGCAAATTTATCTTTGTGTACACTCTGAAGAAATTTAATATCTTTCTGCTCTTTTTCTAAGTTTATATAAAAGGTAGTGTGGGGAAGAGAAATAAAATGATTAAATTTACTCTGGGTACTGATTCATTTATTTAAAATTGAAAGGAAAATTAAAAGGGGATAATGTATTAAAGTAGGAATTGGTGACTTCATTTAAGTAAATGTTTTATTTGAGTTTTTTTTTGAGATAATTGCTTTGCTCTGTTTAATTTGTTTCTTGTATTTTTTATTTTGCTTTTTTGTCTTTGATTTTGCACTAACTGCGCATTTGTGTTGCAGACTTTCATTCTTCATATCTTTGCAATTAGACTCTAATGTTACTTTTCAATTCCTGCTATTAGTTCACACTCCCCCTATACATATTTATATACCTTGCTCAAATTTTCAATCGTTAATAAAATGCTTTTTATTCCTCCACTCAAGCTCGATTGTATTTTTTAAACTTGTAGTGGATGACACTTGACGTTGTTTGATGATGCATTGATGATGATGCATTTTTCCAATATTAGTTCATTAATTAAATTTAATTAATTAATTATATTTTAAGAGATATATATCAGTCGATATTATTCCTATAGATGGCAGCACCATTGGATAAAACAGCTTTTGTTAAATTTAAAGAAGATTTAACTTAATCTGAATAATCATATGAGAGATATTTAGACGTCAACCTTCCTTTTACACTGGTTTTAAGATAAATTCTTACCTATTATATTTAACTTTTATTAAAAAATGTAATTACAAATTTAATGTGGTAAAAAAGATTTTAATGTTAATTTAAAAGGTGTTTTGCCACTTAATATAGTGATTCTATCATATGTATATACATATTTATATTAATTGTAATTATTTAATTAAAAGTAATTAAAATAAAATTTATGAAGGGATAGACATAATTTTTTTATATTACTTGTTTCCTTCTGTCTTTTACCTTATATGTCTTTTGTATAGTTTTCCGATATACTATTTTGAAGCTATGTAATTCCGGTCTTAAAAAGTTGTTAATACTGGTCTGTTATTCGGAATCGTTTTTTGAACTTATAAAGATACCTGTAATTCATGCAAAGTGACTTCTGTAAAAAATATAAACGGTAAGATTTTTGTTTAATAAATTTTGAATAAGGGGAAGGGGGGGGGGAGGTTTCCTGGTGGATTGGTTTGTAGGTTTAAACCTGTCTGTGTGAGCTCAATTTTTTGAGGGGCTTCCGCCAATTGCCATCGTGATGCTTCAGAGTGTGAGGTAAATTAAAATTAATCGAGAAGCAAAACTTTTACATTTTTTTCGTAAAAGTTTTATTTCCTGGTTAACTTTGAAATAAAATATCTGATTACTTGATAATAAGAATAATAAAAATGAAGAATAGCATTGCTGTAATGAAAAAAAAAAGTTGAAAGAAGTAAGAAGAGTATTGCATTTTGTAATTCTAAATATTGCTTTACTCATATTTTTTCTTCAGAGAAAATAAAAATAAAAATTCTATCAAAAGTTACAACCTAAAGTGTAAAAAAAACACGTTAAACATGACGATACTTTATTTTATTGTATAAAAAAGTCGGTTTCAACTGGTTCTCCTAAAAAAAATCATTTCTTAAAATAAGGAAAAAAGTGAAATAAAAAGAGAAAAAGAATTCTCTTAAGAATCAAAATACAGCAATAAGTTGGTTTTTTAAAGTAAACAGTCGGAAGAATCACTCTCAGGAAAAGATAAAGAGCCACAATCTCAAACAGGAGAATTGGAAGAAAAATTTAAGAATCAAAAGAAAAAAAAAATGTTCAGTACAAAGAACGGAATGGTTAAAAAAAAAAAAAAAAAAGAAGCGAGGAAGAATAAATAAAACACCGCATAATATAAATGTTTTAAAGTATTTCTTGACTTAAAGATCCTGAGAGAATAACCTCTGGCAAAAAAGAAACGGGAAAAAGAGGACGTTGAAAACAATGATCGTAATACCGTTGAGTAGAGTATATCAATAAAAATACACGATGAAACATTTTAGCAGAAGGCTTGTTTATAGAGAAAAGGGAAATTTGCGAAGGGAAAAACTGAATTAGAAATGGGAATATGGAGCACCGATGTGAATTTTTTTTAAAAAAAAACACCTTAATGCTCCTTTTGAAAATATTCAGTTCGTTGGTTGTTTTGAGTGAATATATATTTCTAGAGCAGGATATTTCGTAGCATTTTTTGGTTCTTTGGATTCCTTTGACAGTAAAGAGATAGGAAAAACATAGCTTTGATAAACAACATTGTTCATTGAAATAGAAAATACTTTTATACATTAAAATAAAAACTAAAAAAAAAGTGTGTGTGTGTGTACTTATGTACGCGCGCACGTAAGAAGAGTTATACCTCTTTGGCGTAACAAGATTAAAATCTTTCTAAAACTCTTTAGAAGAGCAAGCTGGGCCAAGGACGAAAGGCGGTCACGAGCAGAGTTGAACGATACTAACCTTCAATCAATCGGACCAGCCAAACCTGAGATAATCACGATTTAAATAAATTTAAACACCCCCGCAATGGAACAATAGGACCAATAATATGGGGAAGGGGTCGAAGACGGGAATGATCTGTCCCGTTCTGCATATTTCTAAAAGCATTTTCGTATCCGTTCCTACCGAACGCAAGGCAAAGGTTCGCTGACGCAAAGGGATGGCTCAGTGGTAGAGCATTCGACTGCAGATCGAGTGGTCCTTTGTTCATGCCCGGGAGTCTTCTGCAGGGAAGTGAAGAGAAATTTTTTTTGAGGATTTTGAAGGCGGAAATGATTTGTCCCATTCTGTATATTTCTGGACAAAGCATTTTCGTATGCGTTCCTATGGAACGCAAAGAAAAGGCTCTCTGACACGGGGCGTATAGCTCAGTGGTAGAGCATTCGACTGCAGATCGGGAGTTTCCCGGTTCAAACCCGGGTATCCCCTTCTTTAGGGAAGTGAAGAGAAATTTTTTTCTGAGAATTTCGAAGGCGGGAATGATTTTTCCCGTTCTGTATATTTCTAGACAAAGGAATTTCGCATACGTGATGGTTTTGCGTCACATCCATGACGAGGTGCGCGCGCATTGAAAAAATTTACCCTCATCCTATTTCTCTATCGCCCCAAAAGAAGTATAACTTCCAAAATTTACATAAAAATTAAAAAAATAATTAATATTTGTGAGCAATGGTGTAACGGAGAATATTAGGTTCCACCTGCTAATTCATATTATGGACCACAATCCCAAATACGTACTTGGCGTCAGCGAGGGTTTGGGCCCCCTAGAATTCCTAGGCTCCTGGGATTCTAGGGGGCAATGCGGGGGTTGTGGGGGTGTACTTTTTGCCACTGTTAGTGAGTTATATGGTGACATCATATTTCGTTTCGGCCATTAAAAGTCTCGGGTACGAGTTCTAGTGCCACTGAAGACTCATCGTGTTGATGGTGCCGATGCACGTTAAATCTCAATGTCTTCCCGTTGGTGTGGTGTGTTAGTTAGGAGGGAAAGGTGCCAGTTCAGGTGTCGTTCTCGTCACTTGAACATGGTTCAAAATTACGAGGTTCGTTGCCGTTAGCCTCCGTGTCGTTGTATAGAGTGATGTTTATAAAACTCTCGCTCTCATTTGACCATTAAAAATATGACATTTAAAGAAGTCATCCAGGCGATTAACTATGCAATCCATTAAACGCTTAAAGATATTTTCTAAAAAAATTATTTTAACCATAAGTAATTAAACTGTAGTAAAATGTTAAAAGAATTATGCTTATAAAATGATTATATAAGACAGCGGATATGGTGTAAATTATTTGCTGACGTCGCCAATATAACAACCTTTCAATAGAAACGCAATAATAGTGGTTTGCTAAGGTAATCAGAACAGGAAAAATGTATTCTATCATTTGACATATGAAATATATTAGTTTATGTTTTATTAAACGGTACTTATGCATACATACTAACCACATGTAGTTGGCTACCTTTGGCGAATTGTATCAATAGTCCTAGGATGATATCAAATAGGTTGCCACAACGATTTATGTCTGGCATGCAGTCAATCTTTGGCGATAAATCGCTGGTATGGGGTTAATACATAATACCTGTCAAGTTTTTAGTCCACTCAGTTTGTGACGGGCTAACGCGTCTTCTCATTAACATGTCCTTTGGGTTCTTTTGGGGCCAAGATTAATAGCAACTTTTTTCTAACCAAAACCCAAGAAGTGAAACGTAAAGGAAAGATGCAAATTAGATAGCTTTTAAATATCAGAAGTTTCAGTAAGCGGTGTGGCGATTTTGGGAATGTTATGTTAGAGATGGATACAATCCTGAAGTGACAACCAACTGAGGTTACCCCGAAGATAGAGTTATTAGGTCAAGGTACATACCATTGCTCTCGAGTAAAGACGCAACTTCCTTAATATCGCATCAACGATTGGATTAAGGTAGGATTGACTATTTAATATTAGGACTTACATATTATTAGAATTGAGATTAGGCGGGTTAGATATTGATAATGGTGCGAGTTAGGTTATTTCGGTATTACTTGTATTGTGTGTTTGTTCATTGTAGGTTGTCTCATATATATTTATTATCTAATCTGTTAAAAGCCTAAGTTTAAATTCTTAATAAAGTCATATTAAGAACATGGACACGTCTGGTCCTTTTGTTAATCCTACACCTCCAGCTCACGCAGATAATCTAAGAGAAGGTCATCTTAGGGGGGAATTTTCACAAGTTTTCTGAATTTTAACGTAAAAGTTTGATTTTTAAGATCTATATGAAAGTATACCATCGGCGACCGAAACTGTTGTTTGTAAAACTGCATATAATTTTTTAGCAGTAATTATGACTTTACTAAAACTTATTTTCGCTCCATTGCGTTCTAAAAGGATTCTTTACTTATTTGTTCAACACTTCTAACAAATTAATTCCAATTTCTCCACAATTTATCGAGAGAATTCGTATTAACACTATTCGTCACACTATAAAGCAACACGAGAGCTGTTGGCAGAATACACAGGGGAATCAAACTCACCCGAAAGTAGTTTAGAGCTACAAACCGGTGGTTACCCGGGAAACAACCAACTCCGCGTTCAGTCTTTATTGAAAAAAAAATAATCTTATTTTACATTTTTATGGAAGTACACTGCACCAAACGAAAGGCAAATTCACAATACACATATATAACCACATAAAACAAATTAAAGATTGATTCACAACATAGATAGACAATTACAAACGAAGAGTAAAATCACGATATACATAAATAACTACACAATGAAAATTATATATTTATATACGTAATAATTCACAGAGTCATTTAATCTTTAATAGCTTTTAATTTATCTATGGTCCATTTTATCAGGACACGCGTTTAATTAATAATATAGCTACCCGCCTAAAGAGAATATCTTGAACTACATCCATCCAGCCCAAATTATGTGATTTCCCGTTGGGTATAAAAATCGAGATTTCTCGAATTCGCTCTCTCTTCTGTCTTTGTCTGCCTTCAACATGTAGTCGGCTGCTTTGAGAGTTGTGCGTTTGTTCTTTGTTCTGTGTAGTGTCGTCCATGCTTTATGTTTGTACTAGCCTATGTGTTTCAAGATGTGCAATAAACTGGATTACCGGTATAGTGGTTAGCGACGCTGACTGCTGCGCCGTTGGGACTGGGTTCGAATCCCGGAGAAGACATGGATGTTTGTAAATGTATAGTGCCTTCGCGGCATGGGGGGTACTTTAAATAGCCGCAAGTCCTCTCGTGAGGTTGGTGGAAGGAGAAGAGAGGTGGAAGGCCCCTGACCACCCCAGGGTGTTCTACCTCTAAATTGGGGTGAAACGGAGATAAATCGTTCTGTCACCTGTATGGTGCTCAAAGCTACGACTAACGACAGGCGTCACTTAGCCCTTTACCATGATGAATTTCGTGGGTATTGATCTGGCATTTGCCGATCAGGTGGCATTGGTAACAACAACTAATCACAAGACTGCCTCATCAATAATAGTGAATACGCAACATAGACAATGCATCTAACATACAGTAATCATTCAACACCGGTCACTCCCTATCCTTTCATTGTTGCAGTATAATCTTCCACTCGCCACGACAAATTATGCACCAACTATAAGTTTTATTATATACATATATTCACACAATACACATACACATATAAATTCACAATACACATACACAATCACACAATACAAATGTACAAAACCAATAATAATAATAATTATAACAAGTAATATATATAAAAAATTAAGTCATTTCCTACTTAGGCCAACAAAGAAAAATTTTTATTTTAGTTACTTTTTATCAAATAATTACAGTTAATATAAATATGTATATGCATATGACAGAATCACAATATTATAAGTGGCTATTAATTTTTACTAACTATCATTAAAGTATCGTATTGTCATCCGAAACAATCGTGTATATAAAATTTCAGATCATTTGAGTGCTTTAAAATGTGTTTTACTAACGATTGGAAATTTGAACAAGATACATAGACATTGTGAACAAATAGCAGGAACTGAAATAAAAAAAAAGAATAATAAGGAAAAAAAAAACATATATCGGACAAGAAAAGAGAAAAAAATCCTTCCAGCATCTTGCAAGTGCACCAAAAACAATAATAATCTCCAGCTGATGCCACCATTTCTTGATGATACACTTTCACCTTAATATTTATCCTTCAGTTTAAAAAAAAATAGATCATTACCTTTTGGGAGACGATTCATATTAGAAACCTCCCTTTATTTTAATCATGAAGAAAGAAAGCAACCGGAAAAAAATATTGAATTTTATCGGAGATATCTTTTGCTATTTTGAAACAAGAATTTAACATCACGTTGTTGTTGTTCATGCCACATGTCTGACATAGTCAGATCGAGGCCCACGAAATCGTGGCAATGGGCTAGAAGTACGCCTGCCGTTGGCGTTTTAGCCTTGAGCACCTTGCAGGTGAGAGTACGTTTAGCTCGGTGAAATTCCCGAAGGAACGATAGATGGCGACTCCACCTATCTCCATCTCCACAATTTAGGCATGGAACTGAATTGGAGGGAAATTTTCTCCAGTTCCCTGCACTCGTGTGATTCAGCCCACAAGACTTTCGGACCCACTGAATTAACGAGCACGTGCTCCGCGTGTACTCGGAGGGTATTTAGCGGTACGGGCATCGAACCCAGGCCTTCCGGTCTGGAGTTCGGTGCTCTAACCACTAGGCCACCCACGGTCCTAACTTCATGTAAATATTCGTATTGTTAACTAAAGAGCTAAACCATAATTTACGGGATATATCAGTGGGCTTAGTAAGGTGACACTTTTTGCTGAAATTGCAATGGAAAACATAGTGATCTTCACCTCTAATCTACCTACAGAGACAATTGGGGATAGATTTTAATTTAAATCTATTTAAATAATACGGGGATGGGCCATGGATAGTTAAAAACTGAACAATGGGCTTCAGATAGGGGTAAATATTAATATTAACTGTTGACGAAGTGGACCTCGTGCTTTAGAATCACGATCAAGTGACGAGGACGACATATGCCCTGGTCCCCATCTCTCTAAACTACCTCATCACGCTAACGAGAGGATTTTGAGCTTCGACAGATTTAACGTGCATCAACTCCTAGGGATCTTCTAGGCACACGCCAGCAGTGAGCTGGTGAATATACCTCCTTTTTCTTACAGAAACATTCTACATAGAGAATTAAATTTTTATTCAACTGAAGAATTTTT